TGAAAATGTTAAACTATTATATTTATATAATGAATATATAAATGTTTTTAAGCAAACGATTATTTTACACATGTATAATAGTCTGATTTTTTTTAAATCACAATTATTTCGAAATTAAAACAATGGATAATAGTAAATCCTAAGATTTTATTTAAAATGGAAACACCTTGTACTTATTACCGCTATAAGGGAGTCTAACTTAAATAAACTATTTTTTACATAATATTTTAATACCTTTTTTTAGCTTACTAACGACAGTAAAATTTACCAAGAAAGCTGCAGTATCGAAGATCATTTGACTTTCAGATTTGTCTAATAACAATGTATTCTGAATAACATATTCTGTTACCTATTATATAAATTATATTATTATTATTATGTACATGTAAGAATACATTTTAAGAAAAACAGAGTTTTATGTTTCAACTCAAAAAAAACAATTTACTGTCATAAAAAGACGAGTGGGTATCATTTTTACCAAAGATTTCGTATAAATTTTAAACAGATCAAAAACTATTTTCACATTTTTTGTTTTTTCGACAATACCACAAGCAAATGCAGTCTAGTTATTTAATGGTTATTACGGTTCATAGTAACATAGAAGTTAACCCCATTTACAATTGCCTACGTATGCTAAGGTGTTTTAAAGTATGTATATTCTGCCAAAGTACTATTGTCTACTCAATCGTCAAGAACAAATAATGGAACAAAAAAACTAGAAAAAAATTTGTTTTAAAATTTGTATTACAATTGACCTAATTTAATTGATATACTATATCGTGCTGATTTTGGCTGTGGAATTATTTTTAATATTTATTTTATTTTACATTAGTATATAATCTCTTACGTTTAACGTTCGCTATTCCCACCGATCGGGGCTTAGACGGTTTGTCAATTTTTGAACATTCTGAGAAAATCATGTTTTTAATTTCAAAACGTAATACATTTTGCCTGTATGCCTAAACTTCCGGTTGTTACTCTCGACTAATTTGTTTTTTCCCTGGTTCGAGCGCATAAAAGATACAATACATCAATACAAATACAAATTTGGTACCAAAATCTCGTTTTCAACAAAAATCGACATTGATCTTTTTTCCCCGCAGCCCTTCATTTGTTTTATGTGTATTTGTCTAAGACGTGGCATATAGTGGTACCAATGCAAATGTCAATTGACACCTTTATGTGGATCATTTTCGGATGTATCCATGTTTTTAGATTTTTGATAACGTTTCCGACCCTTTGCAGAAACCATCTACAGAGCGATTGTCACTGTTCCGCTGTTGTGACTCTACTGACATCAGAAAAATCAATTTATAGTGTTATGTTTTAATTTTACAATTTTATCGATTATATTTAACTTAAGTAGGTATAACTTTAACTATAGTCAATTTTTCACAAAAACATTTTTTTCCGTAGATTTAAAGATTGATTTTGGCTGATTGTTTTGGTTCAATTGGCATAATTTAGTGACGAATATTACTCATATTATTGAAGAATATTCGTGGTGTAATACTATAACGTGTAGACATTTTTAAACTTTCAAACGGCTGTCTTGAAAAGTTGATTAAATTGACTTAAGCCCTTTCTACCCGGGACCAAAGATATATCATAATAATATTTAATACTTGTATGATTTTTTAGTGGCCTAAATATCGTGTTTTTTTTTTGTGATAACACCGATTTTCGGGTTTCCATAACTATAGTTGATATATTAATATTTAGTCGTCGTCGACTAATAATGTGCTTAGCGATGGACAAAAGCAAAATCGCCAAGTCGATAAATAAACAATATCTATGATTTTTACTTCTACATTAACTCGATCAATTTTTTTGTATTGTTTTTTTTTTTATGACTTTTTAAATGGATAACAGTGATTGAAACTCGCTGGATTATCGATGCCCGATTGTGTTTACCGAGACCGAGAATTTTTGAAAACGGTACGACGATTGTTGGATAAGCATTTGTCAACCAATCCAATACAGGTATGTTTTTATATTAAAGTTTATTCAAATAGTAATTATTATTTAGTACAAATTAGGAAAATATTCAAACAACATACAACTTTCTTATATTCGTTTAATATTAATTCATAGTTTTAACAGTAATCATACAAAAATTAAAAACATGTGTAATATACACATTATATTCAAATGGTTTTTCGGTTTCAAACACAATATACTTTGCTCGTAAACAGTTAACTCTATTAAAAATAAATGACAAATTATATTTTCAATACCAAATAGTTTGACCTGATGATAAAATATAATTAATTCCATACATGGTTGGTAGTCATTGTATAGATTTTTGGATAATTTTTTTTCTGGCACTTTTATTTGAATACCACTTAGTTTATAAGCCAAAAACGTTTCATAGCATGTGAGTGAATAGTTTTTTTTTTTTTTTTAATTATTGATTCGTCCTTTAAATACATTTATCTCCGACAGTACCAGTAGCCAGAGTTTGTCGATAACTTGACTTTGAGATAATTTCTTTCTAATTACCTGTTTTATAACATTGCCAAGTTTGTTCGTCATACATGATTAGTAAGTCGCTTGGTAACTGAAAATCAAAATTGCCTGGTCGATAAATAAACTGTAAACAATAACCATTAATTTTATTTTGATGTCAACTGTTATTTTTTCGTAACAAAGTTCAATGTTTTCTTCAGAAATTTCTTTTACATTTATTTTTTTGATGTGACCATCTAAATGGAAAACAGAATTGTCCAGAAGTCGAAATAGCATTTGTCAAGCAACGGGTATCGTTTTATCGTGAAGTACAAAAAGAAGCGCTCATGTCTTGGTCGTGTGATCCATTGAGGACAGCAGTCAAAAAATGTTACTATTTAGTTGTCTTACGTATTTCCGAAGAATAACAGCAGTCAATTATTAAAAAACTACTTAAAAAGCCGAGATGGGGTATGACTACTATAACGGAGTATGTTACAACGTACAGCCTAGAGAACTGACTTTTTTTAAAATCTTATTTGTAATTATTTTACTCGGTTCAGGCAAACTAAATCTCGGGCAACGCCGGGTCGGGACAGCTTGTGTTAAACTAAATACAAACAAATTATTTTAACACAATTTGTTTACAACAAATACAATGATATTACAAATGTATAGTCAATGGCAGTTTTAATAATAGAAGAGAAGTCAGAGGACAACACAATACGATGGGGTAGATGATCGACGACGGACCATTGAAGAAGTTGTAGGAAAATCTAGAGTGTGTCTTGAAGTTCGGTGCAACGTATTTTAAGTGACGATTTGGGAACGAGAAGGGTGGCTGCAAAATTTGTTCCTCGACTGCTGACTGCACAGCAAAAAGAAGGTCGTGTGGAAACATGCAAAAAGAAGATTTCCGAAATGACCCAAACTTTTTTTCCAAGATCATCACAGGTGTCGACGAATCTCGGTGCTATGGATACGATTCTGAAACCAAGCAACAGTGAAGTCAACGGATGACTCCAAATTCGCCTCGCCCCAAAAAAGCTCGTCAGGTGAGATCCAACATTAAGGCAATGCTCATTTGTTTTTTGATGTTAGATGTCTTCGAGCAAGGTGTTTTGATTATCTCTAGGGGTATGATTATTTAGATCAGTCGGATTATTTTCCGTCGGTCTGTTTTCGTCTGTTTGATCTTCAGTGAAGACTGATTTCGTTATGATCCATGATGTATAATTTTTTTTTTACCTACCTTAAAAGGGACACATTTTGTTTCAATTTTCACAACACTGCAACATTTTTCGGGATCGTCTTGTAGTTTGTACCATCATCATTTATCAGTAACTGGTTCTTGGATCAGTAGAAATTACTGATACTTATCTTCGTAAAGTCTCTACAAAGGGTAATAAATATCATACGAATAAATAAAACAAAATACAACGTGTTGTATTAAATTATAATTATTTTGTAATAAATAAAACAAAAATCGTGCTCAATATATGATGGGAAATTACACAATGCATTCACAATGTATTTATAAACAACCTGTTTACACGTTGCCTGGATATATACATCACAAATGTTTATTAGCGAAAAATAATCAAATACAATAATATCACTGCACTTCAATAATATGCCAAAGTGGCTCTAAATTAGACCCTAAATAACCAAATCCGTTCTTCGGTTTCAGAGATCTGTGTGACTTGAGAAAAATTTAGTTAAAATTGACAATTATTTTGATGTAAAAAACTTAAATATTTTTTATTAATTTTTTGATTAATTTTTTGTATTTTCTTGACATGCTCTAATACACTTAATATCAACCATCTTATATCTTAAGAGGAAATTGAAATTTAAGCGCTTATTATATGTAACACACAGTTGTGTTTTAAATTCAAACAATTATTGTATGGGTGTGAAATCTGATCAACCTGTACATTATCTTATAATAAAGCTAAGACAACTATTTCACTGTGTGTAGCTTTTTTCCCTAATCACAAGAAACTTAGTTAAATATCAAGTAACATCGAATTTATTATCGTTTCAACTACTGTACATACTTAATTTTTTTGAAAATCAAGAAAGTAAACAAATTTACCAAATATATATTTCTTTATAGTGATTCATTTGAAACTATTTCCGAAAAAAAACCTATTAGTCGATGGGCCCTTACTTACAAAGTTTCCTTTTTTTAAAGTTGTTGTTCGCGACTACCTTTTTGATATTGAAAGTTGTCATCTATAATATCGATCATAATATCCATGTCAACAATTAAATTTATTTTTTTTTTTAAACATAATCATTTGTATATTATATATGCCAATATTTTTCTTCGAGTCGATAAATAAATATTTATTTGATTGTATAATTCGAAATTTTAGATTTGAGCTGCAAACATATTAAACTTTAATTATTATTTAATTACAAAAATAAATTTAACTGAAAATTTTTATAATTTAAACATTAATTGGACAACAAATATATAAATAAAATCATTGATTGACTCTCAACCTCGCTTATTAACATATATATATATCCTGAATAAAACTGATTTACGATTTCAGAACTCTTGGATCTCCGAACGAAAAAACCTGTAAAAGAAAATCAATGTTTATAATTATTGAAACGTTATAAAATCTTTCAAATAAACTCTTCGAAAAATAATTGCTGTTAAGACTATTATTATACATGTTTAAATTATTTTATAGATGAAAAAGGTATTTGTAATCGTGTTGATCGATTACATATTATTAAATTTATTTACAATCATCACTGTCAGTGTGTAGCATTTTTGTTTTTCCTACTCACAACAAGCTCTTAAAGTTATTATTCAACTAGTGAGTATTCAATAGTGAGAGTTAAAAATAAAAAAATCGGGTAGTACTTGGCCAGATATACTGGAAGATATACCAACCAGTACGCGCTAATACAATTTTTTTTTAAATTATGATTTAAAGCAAACCGAGCAAATCTGTCCTTGATCAAGTATGTAAACAGACATACGGTCGGTACGCGGTTTTAAAACGTGCTTAGTCAAATCGTGGACTTGATCAATTATAAAAAAAGAAACACAACAATAACTATAATAACACTATAATTGACTTAATAGTAATGAATTTATCTGATTAATTGGCATGTGTAAAGATATCTTGTCTATAAAAATCTTGCTTCACGGTTAGGTCTTAATATTGAAAGTTCAAACTAATATATAGCTCTTATGTGTTATTATTACGATGGTTAGCATAAACAAAAGTCTCCAAATGAAAAACTGTAGTTTCCAGATGTAATTACAAATAGTTTAATAGAAGTACATTCTAGGGTCGTATTCCCATAGTATCTCAACAAACGACACATTTTTATTTTTGGTATTTACCTCCTCCTCGTTTATGCTTGTCAGTACTGACATCAGTTCATCAGACTCAGTTGAGTCTGATACCGTCTGAAAAAAAACCGGTAACGTTACAAAAAAGTTGTATAGGTACACTACTATTATTGTTGTTATTTCACATATCATTTGGCTATACCCGTTTCACTCTTTGATATCAGTTCATTTTTTCTTATATTTTTGCCTTGTTATTAGCGTGTGTTCGACTATGTTGCCGGGAAAATGTTAGATACTACAATATAGCCATATATGGTACTACTAATAATTTGTTTTCAGTGATTGTTATGAGTTTACAATAAATTGGTGTTTTTTGTCTTTTGTATAAATATTTTAATAAAAGGCTAGAGAGCTTAAAAAAGACTGGGAAATTTGTCTTTTTTGATTTTATTTTATTATATAAAGTATAATTTAATAATGCTAAGATTTGTCTTGAGTTAATAATAATTATAAAAGAATAGTTGTGTATTTAAAAAAGTAGTATGTAACCACATTGTATTTAACAGAAGTTTATTAATTCTCCAAAATAAAATTTTACCATTTGTGTTTTGTCTATTCTCTTTACACAATATAACCAAATTCAAATTTATATAGCAGTGAATTTAAGCTTGAATCACCGGGCTCTAAAAATAATCATTAATTGCTATATTAATTATCTATTTTTAGCCAAAACAGTAACATGTAAACTCTCATGAACGCCTCCACAGAAAGTGTGAAACAAATGTTCATGTTTTATATGTAATAGATTAGTTTAACAAAAACGGGCTCTCATATTGAATCAAGCAAAATTACATAAATAATACCTTATAAACTTTATACAGCTACTTTATTTTTAAACTACGTTGTATGACGATAAACACAAAAAAGCCAAATAAAAAGAATATTATACTTAAATATTCCAATTTCTAACTAATGACTTTTAAAACGATTTGTAACGATTTGAATATTTTTAAGAAAATAATTTTTTTTTTAATTTAAATTTCATTTGTTTTATTTAATATTTAACAGCAGTTGTTGACAAAATTAATTTTCAGATTATTATTATCGTATAACTTAAATGTGTTGTATGATTTTTTTCTTGTTTTTCATAGATATTTTGTACAAAAAGTCTAAATAAGGTAAACGATATAAACGATACAAATAATATAATTTTTTTTTTTTAATTGTGGTATGAATTATTATTCACCCTTTTTGTTTTTTTTAATTTTGTAGACTAAGTTTAGAATCTGTATGCATTTTACAATATTTTATTAGGCTGTTTTTATGCTTGGTTCTTTACTTTTGGTGTATAAATCATAGTTAGTTTAAGAGTTTTTTTTTTTAAAAATCGTTTGTTTTTCACATTGCAAAGAAATGATAAAGTTATTTTCATTTTTACAATTAAATAGAAGACTTGTACATTTTATTATAAAATTTACACCATTATGCTTCCATTGATTATAACAAGATTTTTGACAAATTATTACATTTCATTTTGAATATATACATTGTTATTTAAATTAAGTATCGCAAAAAGAGAAAACATTTTTACAGTATAGTCTAATCAAATGATTTTGTTGATTCTCTTATACACGTATAAACAAAATGTACCATCACATAAGACTTAACCTGTTTTACTTTCATGCTTTATCTAATCTGTGGTACTATTTATCGAGTACACAATTTATTTATTATTTTAATATTATTATTAATTTATTAATTTTTTTTTTTATTAACCATTTTTGATAGGTTTTTAAGAACCAAATTTCTTTTTTATAAAAATAGGTGTGATCTTGAACTAATTTGTATTATTTAATTTAGAATATTCTTTAAAAGAGCCATTCCCTGCTATAATTTAATAAAGGTGCATTGAAAAAATGTGAATCAGAAATGTAAAAAAATGCATGTAATCACACATATAAACCACAATCATACGTGTTGCTTTGTTGTAATAAATCGCTAGCGTACACATATGGCCAATCCTCGAGTTAAACTCTAACGAATTTCGTTACCGAACTCGTCGGTCGATTATTTGGTTGATTCCCACCCTATCTTTTGAATCGTAACGGACATTCCAAATTTTAAAAGTCTCATTAGCAGCACTCCTGTTGGTTATAACAAAGTGTATATACCGAACTACTTGTGGGTGAAACCACAATTCTTGAACTCCTTGACAATTATAATTTGAATGATCAACAACACGCACCCAATCTTGCCCATCGTTTGAAACTTCAATGTAATAAGAGTAACGCCTAAAATATCAAACAATTCGAATAGCTTTTAGAATAGTGATTTGTAAAAAATTAAATAAAATTAAATATTAGGAACAGAGTTGTGGAAAAGTATAAATTATATAACATAATACAATTTAATTATAAACAAAACAGATCCGGTATCTTAAAATACAGTTAAATCATTTTTATAAAACCACATATTTAAAAATAACAATTTTATGAGACAATAACTTATACCACACTGTCCACATCAAATCTTTATATATCTGTATAAATAATACTATAATATATATAAATATGTGATGTTGTTCAATATCTATATAAGGTATAGATATTTAATATAATCGAACATTCATTAATTTAAAACAATAAGCTTTAAATAAATATTAAAATACAACTAAAACTCTAAAAAGTACTATTTTCATTACTTTATTTTAATTTAATAGTTAAAATCTGAACTGGAATGGTATCAATAATAATAAGAACTTTTTCTAGGTTCTCTCGTCGATACTATTAACCCAACATTCACAATTTTTGTTTTAATTCTGACATTTTTTTAAACTTTTTTAAGTGTTTGTAAATTAAAGTTTTCCATAAAGACTTTCAATGAACAAAGACTGTCGTGAATGGTCTCGTTCCTGTCTTCAATGTCAACGAAGCAAAGTCTCTAAACGCATTTCTGCGCCATTTGGTAATTTTACTGTTCCACCACATGTACACGTCGACTTAATCGGTCCCCTTCCCTACTCGAACGGATTCAAATATTGTTTAACTGCAATAGATCGGTACATCAGATTGCCGGAAGCTACACCTTTACAAGACATATCTGCTGAAATTGTCGCTAAAGCACTCGTTTTCTCCTGGATTGCGCGCTTTGGCGTTCCACTTCAAATAACTACTGACAGGGGATGACAAATTTGAATCTCAACTTTTCCAGTCACTAGCTAAACTTTTCGGTATTCACTTGTCTAGGACAACTAGTTATCACCCACAATCAAACGGTCTTGCTGAACGTTAGCACCGCTCTCTTCAGACTTTGTGGCAATTCTCCGAACCGTAATTTCAAAACTCCGTCCCGTTCCTGCATCACGTCACTCAAAAGGTCAAATTTTCCTTCATCGAGATCTAGCAACATGCACTCATGTCATGCTACACACCGATTTAGTTAGAACTTCTCTTCAGCCACCTTACACCGGACCTTATCCAGTTCTAACCCGTGGTGACGAGACTTTCGACATTTTGGTTAAGGACAAGTAGTCGACCGTATCCATTGACCGCCTTACTTCATCACAAGCCCACCGGGTCAACTCAACACTTCCCGGCCAAACCTGCCGAAGAAGAACTTTCTAGCTCACCCATTGACGATGCCACGTCCACGGACAGACCTTCGGCAACAACTCGCTCAGGTCGTCGTGTTCGTTTAACCAAGTTCTTTCAAGCATAGCGACAAATAATTTATTTTATTTTAAATAATGACCATTTCAGTATAAAATATTTTTGTTAGTTTAAAACATACTTATGTAAGTCAGTGAACCGTGCGTTGTACAACGATATTTCCAAAAAGTTTACAAATGACGGAGTAACCAACTTTATCATATTAGTACCGAAGTCGTTATTTGAAAGCGAAAAACCCTGAGACTGATGAATGACATTCAAATCGGGAAGTAGACAACTATGATACTCACAAAAAATATGCACATTGAGTTCTAAAAAATTGAATAATTAAAACCAACAAATTTTGCGAAATACAAATTGATGTGTACAACAAGCATACTAAGCTGTCCCCGAAATTGAGGCTTATCTTGTGGCCACGTGTTTCTTCTTAATTGCATGGCAGCTGAAATTAAATCCGATCTAACCAGCTGTGATTCCCTAGCTTGAGACTGTTCTTCAGCACTCATTATCGGATACCTGACGGCCGATAAGACTTTGATATTAGTGTCACGTTCCACTTCGTTTTGATTTTTATTGACCCAGCGACAAACCGCACGAAATATATCCAATTCGTGAGCATAAAACGAGTCACGATCGAGAATTTCTTGAAGAACTTCCTAAAAACAAAACAATTGGTTCTCAACTTTCCACCTAACATTAGCAATATTATTATTATTTTTTATTTTTTTTGAAAAAATATCATTACAGATGACAAATCCATAAATTCATAGGATTTCAAAACTTCCACAGCGTTGTCGTCGATAAATTTAAGTAATTCGACTTCGAGCTCCTTGTTTTCATAATGTCTTGTCAAATCAAGGAACGTACATACATTGTCTATGTTAATGCTTCTTTGAAAATACTCGTTCAATGAAAGTTTTAATTGTGAAATCCCAAAATAATCCGAAAGCTTATGTAGTTTTAAAATTTCTTCATCCTGAAAAATAAATAATAACAGATCGAACACATACTAACGGCCAAACGATCACAAATAAAATTATATTTATGCCGTTTAATAACCGCTAAGCTGCGTCGATTATTCGTTACCTCAAAATCACTTAAATGTATTCGGCCAGTATAAATATATTCAAGAATTATTTTAAATGAGTTTATTGATACATCTTTTATGTGCACATACAAATCATAGGTTTCTGTACCACCTCCAAAAAATAAGATCCTAAAAATAGTACACTATATTACTACAAACATTAAATTATGGAGTTAAAAAGATAAAAATGATATCTTTCTCAAATGTTATCTAGATAATTGTACTCTACCATTTTCGGGATAATGAAACCATTTGTTTTGAGTGTCCAAATATATAAAACAAGTTTTTTTTTTAATTTTAAATACGTCAAAATAATTAAGGCGGTAACAGCGTTAAAAATTAGTGAAAGTACCTATTTAAAAAAATAGGGGTCTCATTTTAGGTCACAATCAAGTGTAAACTATTGTGAATTAAAAAAAACAAATAGTTTCATCCGCTCTAGAAGAAAGGCCTAAAGAAATATACTTAATGATAAGAATAAAATACCTAAAATATTCACTTCGTGAGGCTAGTATATTACGATGGGCGCGCAGTTCTTTTCCTTGTACAACCAAAAAAACGTCTGAATAACTAAATAAGTCTTGAAATTAATTAAAAATACACACACGAACATAAAAAGTAATAATACATTTTGTATAATATCTAACTAAGATAGTTGGCTAATAAATGTGTCTTACAATTAATATGCTTCAATCTTATCTTAGTCACTACCTAGTACTTACTTTAAATAAAATTATAATTAGCTAAACGAGACACCTTCCAGTTTACTTTCATCATCTTTCACAGGTATAACAGATTAAAATTTTAACAGAATATAATTTAATTTGGGCTATAGGTAGTATTAATAAACTGTATACAAGACGTTCTTGGAAAATTAGTAAAATAATAAAGTTAATAGGTACAAATTCAATAACGCATACCTGCCGCTTTGATAGAGGTTGCCTATGTCGCTGATCAATAAGTCGGTGTGGTCGATTTCATTATCACTTGCTTTGGAAGACGAAGCCTTGGAAGACCTAGGCTGCGCCATATAACCTTCAAATCAGAACATGCCAAATAAAATTAACAAAACAGCTGATTTATGGGACGAGTGTATGATTCAGTTATTCGTGTAGCATACACCCCCCCCCCCCCCGATTTTACATTATTCGACCTTTACAAAATAGTCTGATTACAATAATTTGTTTTCGACGGAAAGAGGATGAATTCTTTCAGGCCACATTGGACGTCATACATTTTCAATAAAGCGTTTTAATTTGCTGTTTCATTTCAAAACTCATTAGTCTATCTATTATTACTATTGAGCAAACAACAAAATACATTAGTTAGCCTTAAGTTCCATAGTAATTATGTACATAACTTATCGTTTATAGTTTGCTGCAATTGAATTATAAATAAATAAATAATTTGTACATTAATAAAACGTATTATTTACCTGGACTTGACCATAAAATAATAAATGCTAAATAATAAATCTGCATAGTGGTATAATATAATATCAAATGTTGAACACTTTAACAAAAAACACTATAAAGGAGACCGAGACAACTGATATTGAACACTAACTTAATTATATAGATTTATTACAATAGCGTTTAACATTTTTCTACACTTTACGGGATATATTTTTTAAGAATCATTGTGTGTACATAGAGTGTACGACTTTTTTGTATAGGCGCGTGCTGTTGTCCTATATTGTCGAACATCAAACACAGATTTCAGCTGATGTCAGTTTTGTAGTACAAACGAATAATTCGCTCTTACAATTTCTTTTTTTAAATTATGAATGTAAGCTACAGATTAGTTTTTAAGATAAGTCTTCTATATATAATTATTATTAATTATATTATATTTAATATATGCTCTATGTACCAATTTTATAATATTAACGCGATTACTAAAAATAGTTTTTGGAAGATGCTCGGCCAGCTAGTATATTAATAAAATCATACGTTTAGATAACATACATTGAGATACTATATGTGAGATACTGTTGTTGGATCAAAATACGTACAGTCCAAATAACTAAATTTATTTTATAAAATAAATATAAATACATTTTTATTTTCAGTCCAAGGATAAGGCTAAGGACATATTATAAAAAAATGATCAATATTTTAACAACGATTCACAAAATAAAAAGTTCAAAATAAAGGCTTTCTATAGATAAAGAATTTAAAGAAACAAATCAAATGCCCTACTGCGAAAAACACAACAAATACAGAAAAATAACAAAAAATATATATGAACAAAAAAAAATACTCAAGAATCAGTACGGAATCTTTTTTTTTTTTTTGGTTATTTCTTGTTGTAATGAAATATTTGTCAAACAACGGTTAGGTAGGTAATATATTATTAGAATTAATATAATAAATAATTTATAATATTTTTAGCTAAAACAGTATAATCTAACTCATGGGTTCCTAGAATAATATTGTAATTAAAGTGAGGTGCCTCGTCCCCGCGCTTTTGATGATACCAATAACTATTGCACCTTCTGGATAAATGTTTAGCAAGCCTTAGACACAGTATTCTATGTCGGTGAACAGGATCAACATTCGAGTCATTAACCCCTAAAATTAGTAGCATTAGTGTGGAATAAATCATGCAATAAATCATGAATTATAATAAACAAAATGCTTTCAGAAATATTGGATTGATAAAATGTATTTAAAGAAAACTTGCCTCCAGTATAAATTATATAACATAATACAATCTATTTATAAACAAAATAGTTCCGATACCTTAAAATACAGTTGAATCATTTTTATAAATACGACATATTTAAAAAAAAAAATTGTATAAGACAATAGCTTATACCGCGTCACATCTTTATGTATCTGCACATAACCGGAAAAAGCGTCACGAAAAAAACGTTACCACACGGAGATGGGGTTGGGGTGGGAATAGGGTTGGGGTTGGGGGTGAGAATTAGCTCTGGCACATAACCGAAAAAAGCGCAATGAAAAGCGTTACCACACGGAGATGGGGTTAGGAGTGGAAGATAGGGACGGGAGATAGGGGTAGGAGATTAGGGTAAGATATAGGAGATAAGAGATATGTTGTACGTTCAACGTTCAAATTCTTCTTCTTCCTCAGCTTATCGGCCCATTAAGTGCCATCGCTGCCATCACAAAACCTCTCCATTTCTCTCTATCGTATGCGTCGTCAAAAGATGACTCTTCTTCTATGTTTTTGATATCTTGAGCTATAACATCCACCCATCGGGTCCTTGGTCTTCCTAATGAACGTTTTTTATTTATTTTGTTAACTAAGACTTCTTTTATTACTTGTCCATCCGCTCTCCAAACATGGCCGAACCATTCTAGTCGTTTGCTTTTTATATATGAAATAATATTTGGCCTGTTATATAACTCCTGTAGTTCTTGATTTTTCCTTCTTTCGTAAGTTTGTGTTTCTGCATTGAATTTCGGGCCGTATAAATTTCTCAGTACTTTTCTTTCGAAGGTCATTAGTCTTCTGCTGTCTCCTTTGGTCAGTGACCATGTTTCACACGCGTATGTGATTATTGGTCGTAGATAGCTATGATACAGTAGTGTCTTTGAGTTATGTGACAGTAGTTTTGATTTAAGGAGTCTCCTTATGCTATAGTAGCATCGGTTGCCGCATGCTATTCGATCATTGATTTCTTCATGCATGTCGTTGTTGCTATTTATGTTAACACCTAGGTACTTAAATACCTCCACTTTCTTGAAACTATAGTCATCTACTGTTATGTGGTCTATGTTTGGACTTCTTCTTGTTACCATTAAGTATTTCGTCTTTTCCTCATTTACACACAGCCCTATGGTTTTACTTGCTTTCAAGAGTTTGGACGCAGTATTTATGACTTCATCTCTAGTTTCTCCCATTACTACAATGTCATCTGCGTATGCCAATATTACTCGTTCCCCACATATTTCCATTTTTCGACCGTCCCATACTTCTCTAATTGCTTTTTCTAATGCTAGATTAAACAAGGTGGGTGATAGAGCATCACCTTGTCTGAGGCCTGATTTTACCTCAAAGGTTTCAGACATTTCTTGCAGGAAACGAACTCTGCACACAGTTCCATTGTTACATCCTTTTATAAGACTTACGTACTTTTTAGGAATGCCTAGTACTTTCAGTGCTTCCCATAGTTTGTCCCTATCAATGCTATCATAAGCTTGCTTATAGTCTATAAATATAAGATGCAGTTCTTTATCAAATTCATAAAACTTAGCCATTATCTGTCTCAGTGTAAAAATATGGTCCAATGTCGATTTACCTTTTCTAAAGCTTCTTTGATATTCCCCGACTATTTCGTTTACATATGGGTTAATCCTTTCTAATATTAATGACGTATACACTTTGTAACACGTGTCTAAGAGAGATATACCTCTGTAGTTCTTTGTTTTGGTCGGATCCCCCTTTTTTAATATAGGACATATTACTGCAGTATTCCAGTCCTCTGGAAGGGTTTCTGTATCCCATATAATTAAAATCATCTCCATAATTTCTCTTCTTATTTTAGCACCCCCTTTTTTCAGTAACTCGGCCACTATATTGTTTTCTCCGGGTGCTTTATTGTTCTTAAGCTTATTGATTATATTGTCGATTTCTTCTTGTTTAGGTTTTTCTATCTTCGGTTCTGCTGTATAGTAATAGACAGTTTCGTTGTCTTCCTCTACTACTGGTTGATTTAAGAGCTGATTAAAGTATTCTTTGAAATGGCTCACTATCTCCTTCTCTTCTGTGATTAGGTTTCCAAAATCATCTGAAAGTATTCTTGTCTGTGGTTTGAAACCAGCTTTGATACTTCCGCTTTCATTGAAAAACTTTCTAGCATTGAATCTACTCCTTTCAATCTCCTCTATCTTTTTCTTTTCATGTAACCGTTTCTCTCTCCTCAAAATTCTGTTTGTCTGCCTACTTTGTTCTTTGAAAATATCAATATTTTCCTGTGAGGAATTTTGTAACATTCTTTTTCTCAGTTCATTTCTCTTGGTTACGGCATCACTACATAAATCATTGAACCAGTCTTTTTTTCGCTGCTTTTTCTCCATTCCTAAGACTTGATTTGCACTGTTAGTCATTACGTATTTTATTTGTGTCCATCTACTGTTTACACAAACGTTCATGTCATTCGTCTTTTCTATGTGACTATTAGTCATTTCTAGGTTTTGTTGTAGATGTTCGGCGTACTTTCTACTTATTTCGATATTTTCTAACATTTGTACGTTGAATCTTTCTCTGGCTTTTTTCGATGCCATTTTCCATTTCACTGATAGTCTTAGAATGAACTTTGCATACAGTAGGTAGTGGTCGGTATCTGCATCGGCTCCTCTATACGATCTCACCTTCTGAATGCAGCTACCGTGTCTTTTGTTTATTAGTATGTGGTCTATTTGATTTTGCGTCCTACCATCAGGTGACTTCCATGTATGCTTGTGTATGCCTTTTCGGGGAAAATATGTGCTACTAATTATAAGGTCTTTCGAAGAAGCAAAATTGACCAGTCTGGTTCCGTTGTTATTACTGATGTTATGTAAGCTGTCTGGTCCTATTGTTGGTCTAAACCTATTTTCTTTTCCAACTTTCGCATTGAAATCCCCTACTACCATCTTTACACAATGTAACGGTGAACTATCATATACTCCTTCCAGGTCTTCATAGAAATTGTCTTTAATGTCTTCATTTTTATCTTCCGTTGGTGCGTAGCAGTTTATAATGACTAGGTCAAATAGCCTACCTGCTATTCGGATGTAGCAAATCCGATCTGAGACTGCTGAAAAATGTTTTATGCATGGTAGTACTTTGTCCTGTACCATAAAACCCACTCCATTTTCATGTTTTCCATTTTCAGATCCGCTATAGAAAAGAGTTATAATTTTTTTTTTGATATTCCCGTTACCAGTCCACCTGATCTCTTGTATAGCTAATACGTCCATTTTATACTTGTTTTGCTCTTCGAGTACATATTTTAGAGCTCCAGGTTTATTTAAAGTTCTTATGTTCCAAGTTCCCAAATTTAGTCCGTTTTCCGAT